TCAGTTACACAATTACACAATAATATTGAATTATTATCCTCCAAAATCCTTGCTACCACCTGCTGTATTGTATATTTATTTGTGTTATGTTTCCTGTCGTGACTGTTCCCTATCTAGAAAATAAACTGTAGGAGAGCAGAGATATATGTTTTGAGCACTTCTGTATCCCCCAAGCATAGAGAACAGAGCACATGACAAATGCTTATTAAACATATTTTGGAGGAGAAAAGGGTTGATCTTGTTTTTTGAGATTAATTAATTTATTTGGCTGCGTCGGTCTTAGTTGCAGGATGAGCAAACTAGGTCCTTGACCAGGGATCAAATTTGGGTGCCCAGCATTGGGAGTACAGTCTTTAACCACTGGACCATCAGGGAAGCCCTAACCAATGAGTGTGAAGTGAAAATATATATATATATATAGCAGCAAGTGGTCAGGCGGGTTGGAGAAGATGGGAATCTTCTTTCCCTGTCTGGGCTCTCAGCTCTCCAGCCAGCATCTGCTTTCCACTGCTCCTCCTCCAGCCCAGACGGTAGAAATTCCCATGGTTTTTACGCGCAGGCTGGGTTGGGCTCTGCCAGGCTCCTCTGTGTGTTGTTCAGTTCCGTCCGACTCTTTGCGACCCGATGGACTGCAGCACGCCAGGCTTTCCTGTCCTTTCCCATCTCCTGGAGCTTGCTCAGACTCAAGTGCATTGAGTCGGTGATGCCATCCAACCATCTCGTACTCCGTCGTCCCCTTCTCTTTCTGTCTTCAATCTTTCCCAGCATCAGGGTCTTTCTAATGAGTCTGTTAAGCGAGTCTTGTCTGGTTTGACAATTAGGAGAGGGGCGCCATCTGGTGGTAGAGGGGAGAATATCTGCAGACTTTCAGAGGAGACTTTCCACTGAGGACCCCAGGAAAAGGGTGAACGGAGGCAGAAGCGGGGTTTAGCCGCACCAGCCAGGCTTTAGCTTTCTGAATCTTTTCAGTTCAGTGGGCGCTGGAGTGGCTCCTTCCCTCATTCAGGTTTGGGGAATGCCAGGGAAGCAATCACAGGCAGTGCTCTCCAAGCAGTGGTCACAGGGACTCCAGACTGTTCCATGTCCACAGGCAGGAATTCCCTCCATCTCAGAATTCTTCCTTCAGGGGTAACCTTGCACTTCTCATTTCTGGAATGTGCACTTCTCTCCATCCAGGCCTAGGCCTCAGGGCCTCTCTGGCATGGAGAACACCCTGGCGGCCCCTGGTCTGAGAGGTCCAGCCTTGGTCAGACCGCCTGGGTAGCCCGAGTACCACTCCCCTGCAGCTTTGCCTTCATCCCGACACTGTGGATCTCCTGCCCATGACGGCGCTGGGGTCCCACTTTGCTCTGTGGCTTCCCCTTCCTGTTGCCCCCGAAGCAAACCCTGAGCTCTTTCACATCAGAGTTGCACTGCAAAATTCAGTAGTGTCCCAAGTAACAAATTAATAGTTGAAGCTCTAGTCGCTTTCAGAAATATGTGGACTTTTTCCCCCCTACTCCTGAGGTCCTGCCTCCCTCAGAAATTCCACTGGTTTGCTCTTCTTCTTTTTAACTTATTATTTACTTGGTTTCACCGGGTCTTAGTTGCCTATGTAGAATCTTCCATCATGGTTTGGGCATGTGGGGTCTTTAGTTGTGGTATGTGGCCTCTGGTCCCCTGACCAGGGATTGAACCCAGGCCCTATGCATTTTGAGCAGAGTCTTAGCTGCTGAACCACCAGGGAAGTCCCCTGGTCTGCTCTTCTTTTTAATTTCTTCTCCTCAGCCCTGCTACTTCTCATAGAGAAAAAAAAAAATTTCAGTGGGAAACTATGCATTATGTAAACTCTAGAGGTCATCCCTCTGTTTTCTGATCCTAGTCCTCTATAAAGTGTAGAGATAATTGATAGCAAGACAGAAATGATTCTTATCTAGAGCTATGGAAATTCAGTCCTATCCTGTAGAGGCTGGCTTTCTTCCCACCCACCCTCTTCGTGGAAAAACCAGTTTGGCTCACATCTGCACATTTATTTCAATACTCTTGATCTATAAATTTGTCTGTTCTTTGGATTTTCTTTCAAACCTACTCTAATGTCTGCCTGGTTGCCTCATTGATTAATTAGTAGGATAAAAAACTTTAACAGGTGCTCATTTTTATATCTGCATGAGATTCATGATTTTATCTCTCTTTTTTTGTAATTTTATTTATTTTTGGCTGTGCTGAGTCTTCATTGCTGGGTGGGCTTTTCTCTAGTTGCTGTGAGTTGGGGTTACTCTGCAGTTGCAGTGTGAAGGCTTCTCATTGCAGTGGCTTCTCTTGTTGCAGAGCACAGGCTCTAGGGTGCTTGGGCTTCAGTAGTTTTGGCTTCCAGGCTTCTAGAACACAAACTCAGTAGGTGTAGTACACAGGCTTAGTTGCTCCAAGGCATGTAGGATCTTCCTGGACCAGGGATCAAACCTGTGTCTCTTGCACTGGTGGGCAGATTCTTTACCACTGAGCCACCAGGGAAGCCCATGATTTTATCTTTCATTGAAAATTATCTTTCGGGACATTCCTGGTGTGGTCCAGTGGTTAAGAATCTGTTTTCCAATGGAGGGGATGCGTGTTTGATCCTTGGTCAGGGAACTGAGATCCCAAGTGCCGCTGAGCAATAAAGTCCATGTGCCAAGTTTCTGGAGCCCATGGGCTCTGGAGCCCACATGCCACAACTAGAGAGCCCTACACTGCATGATGCAACTAAGATTCCACTGGCTGGGACTGACACCCAAGGCAGCCTAATTAATTTTGTTAAGAGACTACCAAGACAAGATTAAAGGAGTGAAGGCCTCGAACACACCCTGATCCTTATCAGCAAACCCACCCTAGAACTACTGCTGTAAAACTCTTCACCAAATCTTCCCTGGTTGGGACACACAGGTTTTCAGGCCACCACCTCTCTGTGCCCCCTTTTGCTTGGCAAAGCAATAAAGCTATTCTTTTCTACTTCATGCAGGAATCTGTCTGAGATTCAGTTCGGCACTTGTGCACAGAGGCTGAGTTTTGGGCATCAAATTCATGTCTAACTGGGACAGAGTTCCACTTCGGGATGACAAGAAAGGTCTGGAGAGGGATGCTGGTGATGGTTACACAATAGTGTAAATGTACTTAATGTTACTGAACTCTACACTTAAAAATGGCAAAAATGGTAAATTTTATGTTATGTATATTTTATTGAAGAAAAAAAGAAAAAAGAGTGGCTCATTTGAATACTTTCTTGGGTAGGTTCCTGTGAGTAAAGTTGAAATTGGACAAGATTTCACAGCTTCTCAGAGACTGATCTGTGTATGTGTGATTTTTAAAAATAAACCTTCCTCCTTCCACCAAATCCCCTCAGTTCTCAACCAAACAGCAAACAACTGTGACCCATCATTTAGAAGTTTCCATGGAACAGAATGGACGAGATAAAAAAAAAAAAAGGAGCTGGCAGTGGGGGCGGGGGGTGAAACTGTCCTACTAGTTCTGATTGTGATACTAGTTCTGAAAGGATTGTCGGGGTAAGCAAATGACCTTGAAATCATCTCTGAACTGGCTTAGACGTGTACAAGAGGGTTTGGTAGGATTCAGGAGATGCTGCTGCTGCTGTTGCTGCTAAGTCGCTTTAGTCATGTCCGACTCTGCGACCCATGGACAGCAGCTCACCAGGCTCCTCTGGCCACAGGATTCTCCAGGCAAGAACACTGGAGTGGGCTGCCATTTCCTTCTCTGGAGGAGTATTAGTTTCCTGTTGGTGGCTGTGCCAAATTACCACAAATGCAGGGGCTTAAGACAGCACAAGTGTACTCTTCTACAGTTCTGGACGTCAGGTGTCCCAAATAGGTTGGCAGGCCTGGTTCCTTCTGCAGGCTTTCAGGGAGAACCTGTTGCTCTACCTTTTCTCACTCCCAGGGGCTGCCGGCTCTCCTCGGCTCATGACCCTCTTCCATCACTCCAGCCTCTTGCCTCCATGGTCACGGCTCCTACCCGGACTCTGACCTTCCTGCCTCCCTCTTGGGAAGAGCCCTTCCATCCAAGTCCTGCTACCCTGTTTCAGGACATCAGCATCCTGGTTCAGTGGAGTCACTTGAGCTGCATTGGGAACTGTGAAGTGAAAGTCGCTCAGTCGTGTCCAACTCTTTGTGACCACTTGGACTATACAGTCCATGGAATTCTCCAGGCCAGAATACTGGAGGGGGTAGCCTTTCCCTTCTCCAGGGGATCTTCCCAACCCAGGGGTCAAACCCAGGTCTCCTGCATTGCAGGTGGATTCTTTTCCAGCTGAGCCACAAAAGACAAGGGAAGTGTTGGGAAGGACCTCACTCAAATCTGAGTTTGCCAAGTTGAGTGCTTTTCCCACTCTACCAGGTTGCCCAACTGTGCCCTATGTTCAAGGTGGCAAACTCCATTAAGCTTCAGGTCCTCCCTTCAGTGGCCACTCCTTCCAAGGAGTGCACCAAGTGCCACCACAAGGGTTGCTCCCACACCGAGGGCTTCCACCCATTGGTTTTGATTCTGTTTTGATGCCACACAATACAAGTGGAAACATCTTCCCTGTGTCAGCAGGGAAGTCAGAAACCACAGCCTCTGGGTATGTTATTTCTGTCCACATGACTCCATACACCCGTGTCTTCAGCTGTTGTTCATGGCAGGAATTAGTGAACACTGGTGAAGGGGCACAACGAATAAGACCTTTATGTTATAGGTGGCTGGGCCACCTTAGGGAGAAGAAACAACACAGCAGAAGCTGTGTGTTACCTGGCAGGATGTTAACCAGGACACTGAATCGTGGGGGGTAAGGAATGGATTAGACTCCCTTCTGAGTCTCCTCTAGTCTGATGGTCACTGGTTTTGTGGCTTTAAGCGGTGAAAGTCTTATTTGCCCAGCCTTACCTCCAAGGTCTTGTCCATTCTGACCAAAATAAGAACTGTTGCTTTTCCCCCCTTTCTTTTAGTTTAAGGTAGTTTGATACTTTCAACCATAGGGTGATAAAGTCCAGACTGACCTCTGCTCAGAATCCTGAGGCGGAGAGGAAAGTTCCACAGATGACCACCAGAGGGCGCCTTGATCCCTGCAGGGACCTCTCCTGCAGGAAGCAGTTCAGATGTGCTGCTGCTGCTGCTAAGCCGTTTCAGTCGTGTCGACTCTGTGCGACCCCATAGACGGCAGCCCACCAGGCTCCCCCGTCCCTGGGATTCTCCAGGCAAGAACACTGGAGTGGGGCCATTTCCTTCTCCAGTGCATGAAAGTGAAAAGTGGAAGTGAAGTCGCTCAGTCATGTCCGACTCTTAGCGACCCCATGGACTGCAGCCCACCAGGCTCCTCCATCCATGAGATTTTCCAGGCAAGAGTACTGGAGTGGGGTGCCATTGCCTTCTCCGTCAGATGTGCTAGAAGAAGGCCAAAGGGACCACCCCAACTTCCTGTCCTCCTCCTGTGGTGGGAAGCCAGAGGCGGGGCCAGGGAAAGTGTGGGCGGCAAGGAAGTGGGCAGGTCCAAACGACCTGATGGGGGCTCTCAACTTTGCTGTCAGACTCTCTCTGCCAACACAGTCACTCCCCACCAGACACACAACCATCTGCTGCTGCCCAAACACTCTGGGTTGGTCTCTCCACATTCTCTCCCCTTGGTGAGCTCCTACACATCCTTCAAGGCCCAATTCAAATGCCCTCTCAGCCCTCTCGTTTTGTGCTCCCATGACACTAGTATTCATTGGTTTCAATGGTAATCACTTATGTGCCCTTCTGCCCTGAAGAACATGGGTTCCCCAAGGGAGACTTGCTCAGCTCAGAGCAGAGTCCTGGCACACAGCAAAGGGCGTTGAACCTCGCCAGCATTATAGTTTCCAGCTTCCTTCTGTACCTGAGAGGCTTTCCTGAGGGCCGGCGCTGTGTTTAATTCTTCTCTCTGGCCCTCAAACCACCAGCATGCGACCTGGCAAAGTAGGCCCTCAAGGTTGCTAGAATGGCGTTGCCTCCTTTGGGTATGTAACTCACTTATTTTCCCTGTAGATGACTTGGCTTCTTTTTTCAGTCGGCATGTGTCCATTAGGCATTTTTGGTTGTGCCCAGATCTGTGCTGAGGTCCAGGGTTGAGGAGATATCCTGTCCCAGCTGCAGAGAGCAGACAATAATGGAAGAGAGATTCATGGCACAATCTCTGAAGCACCTTCCTGTTTATCAAACTCTTCTATTTTGCAGACAAGGAGCCTGAGGCCCAGGGAGGCCAAGGGGTAATGTAGGAAGCTGTTGGCAGACAGCGTCCGGCACTTGGACGTCCTGACGCCCCTCCTTGGATGTGCTGTGCCAAGTGCATTGTGGGAAGCAGTGGGCTGACCAAGTTCACTGCATCTCAGCTGAACCTGGCCATCCCAAAGGCTTAGCAGAATCATTTATGGCATGAGTCAATGAGACATAAACCAAGGAGTCACCAAGGAGTAGCAGAAGATAAGTTCTACCTATCGAAGCATTTATTCACTTCTCGAAAGATCATTTATTGTTTGCTCTTAGAGAAGTTTTTGAGCAGCTAAGTTTTGGGTCAACCTTAATAAGAAAGAACCTAGACTTTTGCAAATGGACAGACCTGGGTTGAAGGTCTTTCCTGGGCTGTGCAGAACTGATTCTTGATGTAACCACCCAGAACCTTGATGTTCTTACCTGTAAAATGGAGCCAATAATCTTTCAAATAAGTGAAGATAAGGTGAGATAAGAGTACCGGTTTGGGGTCCTGATTCCCAGAAGGGGGATACTCCTTCAGTTCAGTTCAGTTCAGTCACTCATTCGTGTTGGACTCTTTGCGACCCCATGGACTGCAGCACACCAGGCCTCCCTGTCCATCACCAACTCCCGGAGTTTACCCAAACTCATGTCCATTGAGTCAGTGATGTCATTCAGCCATCTCATCCTCTGTCGTCCCCTTCTCCTCTCGCCTTCAATCTTTCCCAGCATCAGGGTCTTAGAAGTCAGATCTTTGCATCCAATACTTTGGCCACCTACTTTAGGATACTGCCTAGTGGGATTTTTCACTTCCGTGGTGAGCTGACAATTGTGTGTGTCCCCTCCCAGTGCCAAGTCCAGTGACTCTTGTCAGTTACTTCAAACTGGCCCCAGTGAGGATATTTATGTCATGGAAATAAGCAAACACTACAAATTTCAGGGATCTTTTTGTCTCTCCTGTTGTTAAACGTTTACCAGACATCCCAGGGTATTGTCATTATGGTTGAAAGTCATCAGAACTTTTTCAGCCCAGGCAGACACAATGCATACCAGTTTGGCTATTTTTACTGACGTGACCACCCAGTCAGAACAGTCAATTCCACAAAATGGTTGGCTGGCTTCCCCACCCATGGCCCCCATCTCGGAGGCAGTGGTGTTGTGGGGAAGATGATTCAGTCCAGTGGTCAGCTGGACCCACTTCTTGATGCAGTGTCACACACCCTCAGAAACAGGAGCAAGAGCTGGGTCAGGGTACCAGGGCCCCCCGGGGGCTTCTGAGAGCTGTCTTCCTTGGGGGACAGCCTTTATATTAATACATGTGAACTGGTTTCTAACTCACGTCTGTCTCTGAGTCTGGGGGGTTGTCAGATTCCCCTAGCTTTTCTGGAGTTCCAGGGTGCTCAGGGCAGGCTTGTCTGTGGGGAAGCCCCCCCCAACCCTGGGGCCCGACCTCTCCACCACAGGATGGTCCACTGGTGGGCCTTGCAGGAACACAGGAGCAGCAAAAAGAATCTGACTCCTAGAAGAGGAATTGGTTGCCAGGTGATGATGTCTGGGCCTCTCCCTGGTGGGCTGAGCGTAAAGGGGAAGTGTGGTCAGGCTGGCACTCACAGCTCGGGCTGGGTGGAAGGCCTGTGGGCGAGGCACTGCCTCTCCCCAGCTGTGCTGAGCCACGGCCTTCAGAGCACTGATGGCCCCTCAGCCGCTCACATCTGGACCTCCTGCAACTCAGGTAAGCACCTGGGCCCTGTCAAGGCAGGTGACCATCAGAGCTGGGCCGGGGGATTGTAGCCTGGGGCCTGGGGACCACTGGTGCGGCTGGAGAAAAACTGGCCTTGAAGAAACCACGCTGCTGGTGTCTGACTGGATGACCTCAAGGTCATCTCCAGCTCCTGGGGCCTCTTCGTGTGTGTGGTGGGGTCATGAAGAGGCCTGCTTCTCAGGCTGGATTGATGTAATGCCTGGGAGTGAGACGCTGTGTACTGTGAGGAGGTTGTAGTCATTCTCTGGATTCTGATGGTGAGTTTGGGTACCTGACCCGCGTGAGGACCCTCAGTGGGTCTGTGCTGGAGGGAGGGTGGGGATCGAGGCACTGACTCTGAACTTGGGGCCCCCCCGAAGCCCTGGGATGAGCACCAACAATCCTGGTGTCTTTGTCACTGTATCTCTAGCATTCAGGGACTTCTCTTTTAGAGGACCTCTCTTTTAGAGGCCTCAGGGTCAAGACCTCCATTGAGCCATCTACTCTCGCCCTCTGGAAAAAATTACTGCGGTGGGGGCCTGGGTTCGGCTTTGTCGTTTTCACTTCCACCTTCTCATGCATCAGTTGTCCCTCCTGTCACTCCCTTTCCTGGTCCCTCTGCATGTGTGGACCTCTGGGGAAGCATCAGAAGTGGGGATTGTTGAGCCTGCAGAAGACAAGGGCTGGGAGCTTCTTTTTAATAATTTTTTTAGCACCTCTTTCTTTTTCTCTTTCTGAAAATTAGAAAACTGTAAAGCAATAGGGGAAACAATGACCCTTGATCCCACCACCTCACAACAATCACGTAAAGAAGGTGATGCTGTCTTGCCTTCCAATCATTTTTTCTTAGGCGTAGCTGTTTTGGAAAGTTACCTATGTTTTATTTTGATGTAAGTACATTCTACACATAGAAATACAGATGTCACTGCTGTCTTCAGGGCACCAGCATCCCTGAACTCTTCCATCTCCTCAACATGAGGCTGGCACTGCTGCCAGAGAGCCCCTGGGTGAGAGGTTCAAGTTTCCCTTACATTCTCAGAGCCAAACGAATGGGGAAAAGTAAGCAACAGCAAGGGGCTTCCCTGGTGGCTAAGACGGTAAAGAATCTACGGGCAATGCAGGCGACCTGGGTTTGATCCCTGGGTCAGAAAGATCCCCTGGAGAAGGGAATGGCAACCCACTCCAGTATTCTTGCCTGGAGAATTCCATGGACAGAGGAGCTTGGCAGGCTACAGTCCATGGGGTCCTGAACAGTTAGATGCGACTGAGTGACTAACACTTACTTACAAGCAAAGGCAAGTAGAAACTTGGTTGGACCCAAGGAAGGACTCATGGGTTGTAGAAATCCTGGGGTAAACTCACTAAGAATCCTGAATGACCTGCAGCCCTGGAAGGCTCTGCTAACCCATCACCCCAAACTTCTCGAAGATACTAGAAAATTGACCTATTTGAGAGCAGGGAGCAGAAGTTCTTGTAAAACATGATGCCTAAATTTTTGAAAACGTGTTTGCTTTTGGGTGGGAGGGAAAGAAAGAAGGATCCTACTCTCATGCACTGAACAATCTGAATTCACTTTTCTGTGCTTTCTCCCAGCCATTCTCCTACCACATCTTCAAGTAATGTTATAAGATGTGGCTATAGTCTAGATATGTCAGTATTCTGTTCCTTTCATTTTAAGTGGTTTCTCAATAGTTCGTGATGCTTTCTTCCTAATGATTCCTTAATTACTGCATCCTATCCTATCAAGTCTACAGTCTTCTTGCCTGGAAAATCCCATGGACAGAGAAGCCTGGCAGGCCCCAGTCCATGGGGTCACAAAGGGCCAGACATGACTGACTAACACACACATCCTATCAAGTGGCGCTTGTGTAATTTTCTTCCCCAAGAGACCCCCATTTGACTACTGGGCCGCTCTCTGTTCATCTCTACGAAGGTGCACATGGTTGTCCTCTTAGGGTTTTACTTTGTTCAGATTATTTCTCAGGCTATATTTCGAGAAATGATATTGTAGAACTAAAGGGTGGGATCGTTTTTTAAATGTACTATTTTCTTTCCAAAATTTTATTTAAAATCAATGTGTACTATCACTGGCCCTGTGGGAGGGTCCGTTTCACCACAACTTTGCCATGATAGAGTTTTATGGTTATCTTTCATTTTTGCTAGCAAGTAGATGCAGTTCCTAACTGTGGCCACAGGGGCAATAAACTATGATGGGTGAGTGTATATGAAGAGTCAAGCCCTGTATGAAATAAATCAGACAAGATTAATCTGAGAGTTGGTGTGATAAGCTGTAACACTGAGGGAAGTACATGTGAAAAAGGATATGTTTGGCTTGATCTCTCCTCTTTAGCTCTCTAGGACTTATATTTAACCTTTCACAAAAGTGGAAGGACAGAGAGAGGGACAAGAGAAACTGAACTCCTTTTAATACTCTGCTCCCACCCTTCCCCAGGCATGCTTGAGTTTTACTTTTTTAATTTATTTTGGCTGCACCATTACAGCATATGGGATCTTAGTTCCCTGACCAGGGGTCGAACCCACGCCCCCTACTTTGGAAGCACGGAGTCTTAACCTCTGGACCTCCAGGGAAATCCCACACTTGGATTTCAGGTGGCCATCAACTATCCAGACAGCCATTTCTGGTGCTGACAACAGCAGGGCAGGGTCCAGTGGGAACTTGGCCTCACTAAGCCTGAGCAGTGACCGTCTGGGAACTAGAGATGAATTCGGGCAAGCACAGCTCATGCTGGCTGGCAGGTGTTGCCTCAGTATTATCTGGAGTCTCTCAGACACTTGAGATCCAGGCGGAGAGCAGCTCGGACCCTCATTCCACATCCTGCAAAGTGCAAAGCTGTCGCTCAAATTTCTGTGGGTTCTGCAGGTGGCCAGCCCTGCTCTGAGCCCCTGAGGGTGAGGCTCTGTTCCACACTGCACAAACCCAGGGGTGAAACAGTGTTACAGTTTGGGTGGGAGTAAATTAAAAAGGGGTGGGAAGCTGAAATTAATTTTATTAATGCATTTTACTTAACCCACTCTATCCAAAATACTATCATTTCAACATGTAACCGAGATAAACATTTATTAATGAGATCTGTTATGTTCTTTCTGTACCAAGTCTTTGAAATCCAGCGTGTATTTCGCACTTGCAGCACATACTCAACTAGTCATCTAGCCAGTGCTCAGTGGAAGAGCCCCACGGGGCCAGTGGCTGCGGTCTTGGACAGGGCAGGCCTCTGGGAGAGGGATTTGTGTCCATAAAGGCAGAGAGTAAGGAACTGGACTCATATTCACATCTCCCCAACTTCCTGCTAAGCTATTTGCAAGTCCACCTCTTCCCACAAAGCCTTTTTCTGACTCTAACTTTCTGAAACTCTAATTCACCCCACCAACACACGCATTCCAACCACACCTCTTGGGACTCATGGCTATTTTAGGTCACTTATTTTTCACGAGAAAAACTCAAGTCTTTCAATACACAGGGCATGACTGTTAATACACTTTGAACTAAATTGAGAGGCTGACACTCAGGACTTCTTATGAAATAGGCTAGCGTAGATGAGAAACTGTGAGTTGGAGTGCACCCCTTGTCCTGAAGACACTTTGTGAAACGTTTTATTTATGTCAATATATGTGTAGCTGTCACACTGTAAATTGTACATCTAACTCTGAGGAATTTGGTTAAAGAAAAAAAAAAAAGCAAATTCTTGAATAAAGCCACAGTCTCCAGAATTCCTGGTAATGGAGAGTGAATGTGTTTTCTGCCACTGACTCCCCGGAAATGCCTTTTGGGGAAGTGAGAGTCAGGGCTGGGCTGGTAGTTGCTTTTAGTGGCTCTCCCACCCTGACCCTATTCAGAACTGAGTGCCTCAGGCTACCGAGGACAGAACGGAGCGGCCAAGAGAGAGAAGCTGCCACTCCACCCTCCACACCTGTCTGCCTGGCTTCTGCTTCCCAGCCAGCCGCTTGAAGTCCACGACCAAAGGCAGGGGGAGAGCGGGGAGCCTGCCCAAGCTCTTGTGTCCAGGTGAGGTGCTTTAGAACTAGAATGCCAGCACTTGAATTTCAGGCTCTGGATCCAAACCGCCTACTGCATCATTAGAGGGGAAGCCTGCCCACGACAAGGAAAGAGGGAAGGAGGTGGGGCTGTCAGTCATTCATTCATTTATTCACAGATGTGTATGGCACTCCACTGCATTCCAGGTGACGTTCTGGACATTTAGAAAGAGTGGTAGAGGGAGCAGCAAGATTCTTGTTCTCCAAGAGCTTACTGCCAGTGCGGGAGATGATGAACAGCAAATAAACCATCAGACAGCTGTCACAGTAAGTGTAGGCAGGTTCAGTTGGAGAAAAAAAGATGCATTTTGAATATTGATCATAGCATGTTGCAGAGTGGGAGGCAGGGCTGTCTGCCTCTCACCCTGACGCCCCCAGGACCTTGCCTGTCGACTCTTCCTAACTCAGAACAGGAGCTTTCTGGCCCGCTTCCTGCCCTCTCATCCCAGTCTGGTTTTGTTGAACAGCACAGCCCTCCCTCCATCCTTGCTCCCTTTTAAAAGCTGATTCTTCCATCTGAGCCCCTGAAGGTAGCTTTTGCTCTCTTTTCTCTGCCTACATTTCATTTTGTCCTTTTTCCTGATACTTTCACAGTTTATAAACACACTGACTCCCTGTATTTTAAACAATTTTTCCTCGATCTCACTATTCCCCCTTCTTGAAATTCAGGCTTCCCTTGCCTTCTGGGCTTTCATCAAGCTGACTGGCACTCTCTTTAAGCTGTTATCAGAGGAGTGACTGAGATGCAAAGTCTGTCTGAGGACAGGGTGATTGAGAAGAAGCAGGTCGGTAGAGTGCAGGACACTGAGCTCTGGGGTGAGGAGCGTCTGTGAAGCTGGGAGGGGAGGACAAGCAGGGAGGACCATAGGCAGACAGCAGGTCTTCCCAGGCCACCTTAGCCCTGCAGGAACTTCACTCCGATGCCTATGACTATCCTC